TTTCACAAAAATCGAAAAACTGTTGTTTGCTTTTGAATCTTAGATGGTATCAACACCTTTTTTTTTGTTATTTTTAGCGACTTGCATTATATCCGGTCGAACTTGTGATTCTTTAGGTATTGTTTTTGAGTTGAATTTTACTAGTGTGCTCAATAATTTATTAATCTTTGAATAGCCTTTTTTAAGAAATAGTCTCTTTTTTGGGTTTTTTTTATTTCTGAGTTTTTTTGATTAGTTTTTCAATATGCGGCGATGAAGAGATAAAGTAACTGGAATTGTTTTTGTATTGCACATACTTCCATTCTTACCTTTTTTTAACTGCATTCTTGTGTTTTAGGAGTTCCCTTTGTTGACTGATGATTATCGCATGATGGTAAAACATGAGCGACGGAGAAATGTCGACAAACAACTGTTTTTTTCATCAACAATTGAACGAAATGCAGCGAAACTGTCTGCTCTAATATATGTGGGTATTTCACTTTTTTCTGCAACTGGCAGTATTTGCTTGCAAAAACCACATAGAACCTTTATTATTTGCATTACTTCTACAGTTTGGCCATAAATCTAGTGTAGTTCTTCCAGAGCTTCCCATCCCGAAACGTTTTGTCATGAAAGCTATCTGCTTTAAAATGTAGTTGACAAGTGTAAAAATTAAATTTATGCAAGTGGTAAAAAGTATGTTTTTGAGCTGAAAATGTTAAATGACAGTTTGCATTAAGCAACTTACCGATTCATAATATCGATTCATGTTGTTTCAGACAAAATTTCGAGTTTCTGCAGTGAAGCCTGTTTCTCTGCCCAGGTTCCCCCACCGTAAGAGCCGTCTGGTGTAATTTGTTTTGATTTTTTTACAAAATTTTCGCTGCTGCGTTTCAGGTTGATATCAAATATCCGAAAGTAACACCGATTTATGTGCTTAGCTTTACACTGAATGACACGAGTTTCTCAGCAGCCACTTGCAGCATGCTTAAAGTAAGCTTTTTTTTTTTTTGGAAAAAATTTCTTTGATGCTAAATTGCAGTTCTCCGACTGTCTAGCTACTGCACTATTTCTGGCCCAGTGAGCACTGAATATTTCAGCAATAGTTGTAGTATGTCAAATTTTCCTGAATCACGGCTCATCACTGTACGCAGCATCCTTTGGACTTTTGTTTATCCTGCCCACCTCTCGCAATAACACAAGCGATAATTTTACCGCTGCATCTCTTGTTTCCGCCAGGGGCATTCACATAAATTGATATAAGCGCTCAGATTGGCTCTTGCATCTCACTTGTAGCCTTTCAACCTCTCAATTAACAACGTTTGTGAGATTTTCAACGATTGCTTAGCAGTCCGCTTTGTCAGTTTCTGAATGATATGGGATAATGTGTGAGAATTTATTGCAGCATATAGAGCGGGTATTGAATACGGAATTCCTGTCATATGTGAAATGTGAAAATTTGAATAATCTTCTGGAAGCGCAAATGGCTTTT